CGCCCACCAAAAAAAAAAAAAAAAAAACTGCGATATGTCGACCGAACGCCCCCCTTGGGAACAAGAACATATCTAACGCGGAATAGGTCCTAAACCCAGAGCATCCCGAAACACCCTCGCGGCTGGAAAAACACATCACCGCTTTTCCGGAGCAAGCGGCGGTTCTTGCGGATAGTAGCCGGATGATACTCGGTCGTCCGTATACACCCGACTCGTCACTCATGCCATGCTTTCATCCCGTCGGCCACGTCTCGCTCACTATCACGCCCCCGAAGCCTGAGCTTCAGACGGATATCGCGAAGGGGATAATATCCCTCACGAGTCTGTATATCTCCGAAGCATTGCAGAATCACGGGCTCGGAGGCGCGGCTATGCGACAATGCGAAAAGTGAGTGAAAACTTTTTTATCTTATAGTCACGCCCCTTTTTTTCTTGTGGGGGGGGGGGGGGGGCAGGATAATAAGATTAGCCGAATGGGCATGACAACCAAAATTATTGACTGTGTCCTTTTTGGGGCTTTTGTGGAAAGAATGGCGGCGGAATTCGGTGCTAGGACGATTACGTTGGAGACGATTGCGAATGAATATACGAGGGAGGATAGTCCGAGACGAATCGCTATGAAGAAGCCGGTGCCTGTGGTGAGCTTTTTTTTTTTTTTTTTTTTTGGATTTTTGGAAATGCTGATAACGTAATATTGGGAAATGGCTGACGACGAGTTTTGGAATAGATCTCTCATCAGGATTGGTACTCGAGATATGGCTACGAGCTTTACCATCGGAAAGAAAACTCCTGGGTTGAAGTTGATGATACCGGGAAGGAATGGCATGTTGGGTCCGTGTTTCTTCGTAAGGAGCTTTTGTGAGGACTTATCTTTTTGATGGGGAGTTTGTGGGGGGTTAGGGGGGTATAATAGATCCTCTAGTTCTGCATCTTCTTGATCTTCTTGTATGCGGTGAAGGTAAACCATACATGCACATTAGTTATTGCTTGTTGACTTTACCGCAAAGGAAGCCCGGAATTCCGAAACGCATCACGAAATGGAACATATGTAAGTGTGATATACTCTTGAAGGATGAGATGAAATTGATGCAAAATAGTCAAGTACGTACCGAACCGACACAAATCAGAAATGGGCATCGCCAGGTCAAACACCGCCAGATACCGCCAAGCCTCATCTCCCAATCTCGATACGGCACGGCGTCTGTGTTGATGCGGCGCGGTGCGAAATATGATACCAACATCGGGCTAGGTTTGTCCGCGGATACGGTGAGATACGCTCACTACTAACTAACTATTACGGGGCGGACGATCTTCACAGACGTGTGGATGTGGGATATAGAGTGGCTGATATATATGGGCCTTGACTACGTCGACAACTGTGTGTTAGGTATAACCTATAGGTCAGATTTTCACAATCGTGGGCTATCTATCTAGACAAGATTACAGACTGTAAGGCGGGCGCAGTGCTCTTCTTCAAGACTGGTATTAACATCAAAGTTCCGAATAAGGGATCATAGGTAGTGCTTACTGCGACAAGAATCGGGACCAGTATCGGGCCGCCTTTTTCAAAGTTAGGAAGACTTCAACTCGTACGCGTTACCCCGAGAAATGTTTTAAAGAAGAAAGGAAATATTAGAGGGAAACAGAAGGAATATAAAGCGAGTCACACTCGCATCAAAGAGTGATCGACTGACGCCCACGATGCTCGGCTTCACAAGAGGCCGGCTCAGGTATGTGGCTATCGCGTCCCTTGCCACCGCCTTGGTGCTTTTTTACTTTGGCCTCTACCGGTCGGCTAGCTTCAATTCGAGTGTCGGGTTGAAATGGACCGGCGGGGACACACGGCACGGCAGCGGGATCAACGACGCGCCAGCCAAGATAGACGACGGCCATCCCATCTCTCACCTGATCGAAGAGGCATACAAGGACTTCACACAGCGTCTCGGCAAACGGTCATGGAGTCTGGCGCATGCCGCAGCTCGATACCGGGAGCGACGCGGACGACATCCGCCTCCGGGGTTCGATAAATGGTTCGAGGCGGCGGAGCGCCTAGACGCCGTCATCGTGGAGGATTTCTTTGACCGCATACACCACGATATCAATCCGTTCTGGGGCGTTGACGCGGAGGAAATGCGGCGACGCGCACGCGTCATGCCGGATGTTATCCGTGTTCGGAACGGGAAGATCGCGAAGTTCGAGGGCGATAATAAGGAAGCTATTCGCGGAGATCGACTCGAGATTTGGGGAAAGCTGGTCGAGGAGATGCTCCCGTATTTGCCCGATCTCGATATGCCGGTCAATCTATTCGATGAACCGCGCTTGTTGGTGCCCTGGGAAGGCATAAGCACATATGTCGAAGGGGAGCAAAGGTCCCGGAGACTTATCCCGATCAACGAAGTCACGACCCAAAACACCGGTTTCGAGGATGTGGACGCCAGTCCGCAGGGACCGTTTGATCCAGAATGGATCAGTGACAAAAGCCGATATTGGGAATTGGTCAGTCAAGCTTGTCCGGCTGATAGTCCGGCCCGGAAGGTCAAACCACTGGAAACGATGTCGGGTCCTATTGACGAGGTATTTCCCACGAATATGAACATGCCGTATATGGATGCCAACGGCTTCATTCAGAACTTCACTCAAGCGCATGACCCGTGTGTTCAGCCCCATCTGCGAGGTATGCACGGCACCTTTGTCGAGGCATTCAGCATGTTGACGTCTACCAAGCTGTTCCCGTTTTTCAGCGGATCAAAACTGCCGACAAACAACGAGCTGCTTATCCCGGGCGCTATGTATCTCACCGAACAGACCCGTTACTCCGGCGGTACGGGACATGGCGGGCCGTGGGATGGGAAGAAAACCGGGCTTGTTTGGCGGGGCGCTGCTAGTGGTGGTCGGAACCAGGAGCATAACTGGTGGCATTATCAGCGGCATCGCTTTGTGCAGATAATGAATGGCACGGCGGTCAGTCTCGTGGAGGACGGCAATGCGGAGAAAGGACCGACGTTCACGCAACAGGCGCTCAGCATGTATAATGTATCTGCGCCGAAGTTGGGGCCGTGGCTACAGGAATGGAGCGACGCAGGTTTCAACAGACTGGATTGCTGGCCGGAGCAGCGCGACTGGCTGAACCGACTACGTCCGAACTGCGCGTATACGGACCCGTTCTTCGCGCTGGCCGCATCGATGCCGATGGCCGAGCAATACGGCTACAAATTCCTACCGGACATCGACGGGAACTCATTCTCAGCACGCTGGAGGGGCTTTTTGTTGAGTACTAGCTGTCCACTGAAAGCGACTGTGTATGCTGAGTGGCATGATGACCGTCTTGTCCCTTGGCTGCATTTCGTACCGTTTGATAATACGTTTGTGGATATTTATGCTGTCATGGAGTATTTCCTGGATGGACATGATGCGGAAGCACGGAGAATTGCTGTGGAGGGACATGATTGGGCGGCGAAGGTGCTGAGGAAAGAGGATATGATGCTTTATACGTGGAGGCTTTTGCTTGAGTATGCGCGGGTTTTGGATCCGAAGAGGGATTCGTTGGGTTTTGTTGATGACTTATTATGAGGCGTGACGGGGGCGGGCTCCCTGTTTTATTGGCGCTGAGCGATGAGAGTATTCGGATGTAATTACTAATGTGAATCGGAAAGATCGGCTACCGAGGATTATGAGGGGATTAGATATATGATGTAAACTACCTATCGACAGTTGTTAGTATGAATAGAGGTATCCAATAAACCTCTATGTAATAAGCTGATGTGAATAGCCACGGGTTTACGTACCGTAATATTCCTATCCAGGTCGGTGAGTGGTAAGGGGAGAGGTTAGTGGCAGCTCAAATCTACCCCGTCAAGCTTCAGTTTGGACAGACACATACGCTGAGGCGTAGTCTGCCCATAAGAGGTGAAGCGCTCGAAACGGTCGTCAGATGGGCCGCTATACCGGGCTCTTGCCCGAGATAACTCAATCGTCCAGCGAACGCCAACATTCCGGCTTCATCCCCCGATGAGCGTGACATACGGATAACCAGGCGATCCGAGTCCCGTATGAAAGATAGCTGATTGTCTTCTTGGTCCCCTAGACCAGAATGAAGAACCCACGGGAATGTATGTTCTACTTCGCAACGAACTTCATACAAAATTCCTGGGTTAAGAAATCGAGTTCGAAGCCCGGGCGTTTCCCTCTTTTCCCTCGCCTTGCCTGATGTTCAGTGTCCAAACAACCTTATCAACGAACAGCCTCCACTTGCGTCCAGGTAATACCCCTCCCAGGACAACGGCCGTCAAGCCGAACGGTCTCTCTTGATATGTAGCTGTACTTTTCTCATACACAAAGTCTGAGCTGACGGGCTGTAGTCATGGTGACGTCCCTATATGAGGCTGCGCGGGTCAAGCCTACCTTTGATCCTCCTCACATATGCCCTTATAGGCTACCGGGTGTATATGATCACCTCTATTCGTGCATTGGTCGTTGGAGGGTGCCACTGACAACAACGGACTTTCCAGTCGTCGCCAACCTTTTCTGCTTGGCCATAATGAGTATGCACATGGCTATCGGCCGGCCGCCACTCGCCTGCAATGGACCCTTGGACCCCGAAAATGCATGATATTCTGGGATGAGCTTGTTTTGGTGTTGCAAGTCTTCCGTAGTTCGTCACTGTTGTGTCCGGTTGTTTGGTTTTTGTTTGTGTGAATATGAAAAGGAAGTCGTGTTCCCGAGCAGAATCCTGATCAGAATGGAGTTGGCGTCATCGGAAAATGGCTGAGGTTCCGGAATCCCCGGATGATACCTGTGATGTAATCTGTATAGACTGTATGTACGTAAGTATGTAGCTCACTGTGATCAACAATCCACCCGTATCTAGATAGATATGTATCTAGTAATGAGCCGTTTTCGCTCTTCCCACCGAATTAAGTGGACCGATCCACTCCGTTACCGGCAAGCTGCCGTCGCATCATATGGCGACAGGTGCCCCTATCTCCTATCAATTAACCAGGGGCCTCGTGGCCTAATGGCTAGGGCGCTAGATTTCGGTGGTTTCCGCCTAAACTCTAGAGATTGTCGGTTCGAGTCCGGCCGAGGTCGCCATTCTTTTTTTCTCCCCCGTTCTCCGACTGCCATCCGTTTTACGGAAATACTTACCGGTAGTCTACTCGTTTTCACGTTGGCCGCCCGCCTTCGCTTCAATTTGAGCTTTCGAATGGAAAGGTGCCGCTCGCTCACTCTTTTCCTTCCACTATTATTTTAGTTTTTCTTTCTTTTTTCATTCTCCAATTCTCCAATTCTCCAATTCACGGGATCATTGTCCGCTTGTGGTCGTTAACATCAGGAGCCGCTCCATGCTGTTGTATTCTTCCCTCGAATGAGGCATCCGACATCTTAGACATCTTCTTAGGCGGAGCGCGACCTCCCTCGGTTCCAAAATGGATCACTTCATATGTGACTGATTCTAAATAGATAGATGGAAAGACCGATTAGTTGTGAAGACTTTGGAAGCAACATGACCTGTTCTCTCATTATCTTCCCTGAGTGTACTGTAGATAGCGTACGCTCCAGACAAGGCTCATCACGGATGATTGATGCCAACTACATGATATGACAGGCAGAGGAGAGCAATCACATGACTTGCCTGCCTCGTATTCCACACATTCTCGAATCTTGGAATCTTGGACTGACCTAACTTAGCCATACCGTCCATGTACGGATGGCAAAGGCTCCGATGCCGTCTGCACACACGTGTCCTATGCAAACTGATCCCCGGGTTCAATCAAGCCTCTGCTTTAGAAATTACCGTTGTCAGTAATACATATCCAATTGACAAAGCGCCACCGCCACTACATAACGTACATAGTAACACTATTGCTCGGCCACTCCATAGATGTATGATATAGGGGTACGTACGCCCCCTATCGTCTCCTATTATCCGGCGTGATGGCCGAGCAATGGGATGAATAGGTTACATAGGTCGCATAGACTATATATAGTATAGTTATTAGGTAGAAGACCAAGAGATTGGACCCTTCCTGGACAGCAATCAACCACTGGTCAGCATGGACGAGCTTAAATGCGTGTGGCGTTAATTTGTCATTTTTATGTGCGATCAGACATCGGAAGAACATGGCAGCTGTATATAAAACACGATGAGGCATTCATTAAGATCGAAGCGTTCCGCTTCGGCTCTCCTTTCTCTTCTCTGCAATCTCGCCATAATACCCCATATCACGACTGCGCCAACCGAGGCTTCGAGACACAGGCATGGATATCATCATCTGCGCGGGGCTCTCATTAGCCGGGGCCCTGGTGGTCGCTGGACTCCAGACATCCCATCGAGTAGACTGGCTGTCCGGGACACCGAAAGACGTGGCCATCACTCTGTTCATCACGCAGTATTTCGCGCTGAAATACTACAGAGTATTTCTCTATCATAAGTACTTCTCGCCACTTCGGCATCTGCCCGGTCCAACTGTAAGTCAAAAACTGCCTTTTAGCCAGACTCAAGGAGGAGGAGGAAGGATGTGTCGAATAGGAAAAGAATGGCGAAAGCGGGAAAGGTACGGGATGAATCGTGATATTTGAGAGAATTCCAAAATCCAAAGAAGGCTCTAACATTCAAGAAAATACCCAATTGGAATAGGATAACCATTTTCTCTTCGGCCAATCCATCAATTTGCTCAAGGCAGAGTCGCCGACGGCATTATATATCCAATGGATGAAAGAGAACCCGGACGCGCCGTTTATACGGTATCTCTCCTTCGGCAATCGAGAGGTCCTCGTGCCGAATCGGCCCAGCTGTCATAAGACTCTGCTGCAGACGCATGGCTATTCTCTGCAGAAGCCGGCTACGTGGCTGCGGATGACGAAGGAGATGGCGGGCGACGGCGTCATCGTGATGGAGTTTGAGAAACATAAGAGGCACCGACGACTGCTGAACGAGCCCTTCTCGACGCGCAGTATCAGGAGGTTGGAATCTGTTTTCCAGTCCAAGGCGGATGAACTGGCGGAGTTGTTTGATCGCGCTATCAGCGCTGGTGACGAGCGCACGGGGGTCATTGATTGTACTCAGACCTTTTCGAAGACCACGCTGGACGTCATGGGCATCGCCGTTCTCGGCATCGATCTGGGGAATCTAGCCTCGACTACATTTCGGGAATCTGAAAACTCCGCTGGGGCGAATAAGGAGAAGAAGGAGGATGAGGGCGACTACAACTTCCACGACGCCTACGAAGCTATCTTCGTGCATAGCACTCTAGGGAAGATCATCACGCTAGGAAACGGGTTCATGCCACTGAGATGGCTACCCCTGGAGGTGAACCGCCGTTTCTTGTTCGCCACGTCCTGGTTGGACAGGTATATCACCACCTTGTTCAGGACGCGACGCGAGGAGATTGGGCTCGCGATGAGGACTCGGAGATACGAGACGGATAGCTCTCGCGATCTCATGAGTTTTCTTATAGAGGAGAGTTTTACTGGTGGCTTGGAGGATGATTCCACGGATAAAGAACTTGTGGGCGATGTAAGTTTCCTTTTGGAAATTTTCTTGAACGATCAAGGTTGTTTGGACTCTTGACTTACTGATAACTTGTGTTATAATAGCTTCTTCAATTCATGATCGCGGGCCATGAATCTTCGGCGAATATGCTGGCGTGGTCGCTGTGCATATTAGCCAGACGTCACGATATTCAAACCAAAGTGCAGGACGAACTCCTCGCCCTGGGCGATGAGCCTAGTTTCGTGGCCATCGACAAGGCGCCTTATTTCGATAACTTTGTTAAGGAATGTGTTCGAGTTTACCCCCCAGGTAAGCCGATTACACTGCTCCGATTCCTTAGTCCCTAGGGATATTCAGCTGACGTCGTAATATATGTAGCTGCGAGCTTTCACCGGGAGATCGTCACCGATGTTGTGATCGAAGGGGTCCATATCCCCAAACACACATCATTCGACGTCGTCCCCTCAGTATCCTCTCTCAACCCGCTTATATGGGGAGAAGATGTCGACGAGATAGACCCGACGCGATGGGATAGACTCCAAGGGAACCAGCTGCACTCCCATGTGTCCCAAGCCTTCTGCAGCGGTCCCCGTATCTGTCCCGGACGAGCATTCGCGAACATGGAGATAAAAATCATACGTGAGTTTTTCATCTGCTGATTTATAACGACGCTTTTTTTGCTGACCTTAACCCAGTGGCCAAGATTATCCGAGAGTTCCGGTTTTTGAAGGTCGAGAAGGAGTTTACGATAGAGAACCCGGGGTTCACGCTGCGGCCGCGTGGGCTGGAGGTGAGATTGGAAAGGGCCAGACGAACGAAAATGAAAAGAGGAACAATAGAGGCCGGGAAATAATAGAGTTGTGTATAGATCTGATTGTAAATTCGTAATGTTACTCCTTCTATGGGCCAGGTCTCCAATGTGGTGTCAAGCTCCTGATTATCAGTTCCCCTGAAGAAATAGCGATGATATCCATACAGCCAGACTGACACATCTAGTATTGCCCTCGGAGGTTCCTCGTACTCAGGGCACGCCTCGCCCAGCTCTAGTCGCCTTGGCTAGTTCCGACTGCGCAGTGTCATTAGCGTATGGCTCAATGACAGCGCTGTAGTGCACCCTGTCACTCATCGTCCTCTTGACACTCCCCAGCTCGTTCACAGCAGTGAGCCAGACATGCCACCTCTCCCACTCCTCGCCGCCCTTCCCTTTCTCAGGGACCGCTGGTCCGCCCTTAAACTCCTCGAACACCCAGAGCCGTAAAGCCCAGGGGATCAACATGATATCCACGAGGCCGACTTGCTTGCCGGTGAAAAAGGGGCCCTGCGATGCGTCTACCATCTGAGCGGTGAACTCAAGCAAGTATTTCCGGAGCTCGGCGCGCATTTCCTCTATACGGGCGGCGCCATTGCCCTCGTAGGACGCAGGCTGGAATTGGAGGAGGCGGTGGTATGCTGGAATTATCTTTGTCGTCACGTATTCGATCCAAATGCGTGAGCGCGCGCGGTCATAAGCATCGGACGGGAGGAGGTTCGGCTTGTGCTCTGCGTATTGATATTCCAGGTAGTCGCAGACCACGCCGCTTTCATAGAGTGGTTTGCCGGGGGACACCTCTAGAGTTGGCATGAGGCCGCGCGGGTTCACGCGCAAGAACTCGGGCGATTTGTTATACGGATTGACTGGCTATGTGTGAATACCTACGTACGTACACCTTCACATTTAATGACGATGGGGTGATGATGGATTCACCTTCTATGTACTCGTAAGGAATCCCCTTTTCTTCGAGCGTGAGCCATGCTCGCTGGGAGAACGGATCGAACCAGCTACCGTAGAGTTTCAGTTGCTGCTTTGCCGAGTGGTTCTATTGTTGTCGTCAGAACTAAGAACTAATGAAGAGGAATGGTGAGAATATTGTCTTACATCGACAGTCTGCCTGGCGAGCCCCGTCGCAATGGGGTGCAGATTGGGTGCAGGCATTCTTAGTTTTGAGGATTTGCTGAAAAAGCGCAACATAGACATCTAGATTTCTGGTCGAAATGTCTGAATCGCGTCGTCCCCCGTATACATACTTATACTCGTGGGGGTCAGCCAGGTTTGATATTACCATGGACTGGGCTATCTGGACGCCAGCCCGATAACTAACGTCATAGTGATGTCGAAATCGACTTAGCCCCGACATCTCAACTACACTCGTTGGCGCATGGTATCTACCTATACGAATTGAGACTTGGGATTCGCATTATGCTGGAGACTTGAGTGCAGACCCTTGGAGAAAGGACTCAATGGTTGAAAATTCATCGAGTAGTTCGCTGCGTATCGTAGTTCTGTTCTTGCAACAATATGTTAATATGTTTGCCTAGATGATTTCTTCCAGCTCACATTGATGAATATGTTTGAAGGATTGACATGAATTTCATGTGATGGGTTGACTCATTGATCAAAAACGACTTTCCCAAACTCTTTCCCAAACTCAACGACGCCACATTTCTAAAGATCAGTGTGGCTGAGGTGCCCTGTCAAGCCATAATGAATTCGCACATTCAAGCGCTAACTATAGAAGGTTAGCGCACGACTTACATAGTACGCCCCGGAACTCTTATC